AGCTCCGCCACATCCAGAGGGATTCTCCCCATGAATCCAGACACCTGCTTGGGCTCTAACCAACACCCGTGGGAAGCCAGCAGCCAAGCAGTGCCTGAAGGACGTGGCTGCCTGCTGCTCTCCTTGAGGTTGCCTCTCGCAGCAGAGCACGGCCATGGCGGCAGCTTGGCGCTGTGCTTTGGATGACGCTCCTTCCTTCCCACTGTCAGGACAATATTTAATCAACTGCAATCCAAGGCTCCAGTGCATCTTCTACTGGATCTTTACAGTTTAAGAAGAACCCTTCTGTGAATTATATCTGCATTTCTGTTGGTGTGAAGATACGGAGCAAGTCTCCATTCATGGTTACACTGGCAGCCAAGGCGTGTTCACCAGCTTCTAAACCAAATGGAAATTTCTGTGTTTTGCACAAACCTGACAAGATTTCATTCAGGAGTGCTGAATATTCTAGAAATAATACTATTATTGCTTTTGCATCTCTAAAAACAGCATCAGGAAGACCTTGGTAAAGGCACTGCTGCTGTCCCAGCATCAGAACAGAACATAAGCAACGCTTGTAGTACAGAACCTACAACAGACTGCAGCACACAACACGAGTTGGTACAACTTCAGAGATTTCCCAACTGTCTGAACATGACAAAACAATTGTTACTTCAGAAACATGGGAAGGAAAGCAACAGTTTTCAAATTGCATAGAACCACAGAGTATTTGAGCCTGGAAGGGGTCTGAAGGACCACCTGGTTCCAATCCTTGCAGTGTGTGGGACACCCCCAGTAGAGCAGCTTGCCCAAAGCCCACGTTTCACATCAGTGTTTGTGGCAATGCACTTCTACTTACAGTACGTATCCTAAAAGCAGGCAGCAGTGCTTCAGCGGATACAAAAAGGAGAGATGTTTTATTAGTATCTAAACGCATGATAAAAGAAATCCTGAGTTTCTACGTGGCAGTAGGAATCAGTGCTCTACTGGAGATGCTGGCAGAACAGTCTCCCTTCCCTCAGAATACTGTCAGTGTGCACAGCTCCCTCCCAGCAATGATTTAACTCTCTCATGTCCTCCAGTGATAATCTGCGCTAACGGCATTCCCAAAGACAGCACAGTTCTACTAAAAAAATATGGATTCAGGGCCATAATAGACAGCTGCACAGACCTACAGGAGCCCAGAGAAATGCTGTGTGAGACACTGAGGATGGAATGTCAACTTCTATACATTTAATGCACAGATTTTAATGGCACTCCAAAAAATGATTCATCTGATGGAGCAACACTTTGCATCTGTCAGGCGTGAGGGCAACGCATCTCATTCAGCCACATACACGTGTGCATATGCATGTTTTCTGCTAGCAAATATAAATCTGGAAAAGCAAGATAAAAAGAAAGGCAAGGATAGGAAAGAAATACCGGCCAACATCACTGCTGGAAAAAACCCCATTATGGGGAAGAGGGTTCAGACCAGCAGGGTCCCCTCTCTGCCCAGGCAATGGATGGCTGTGGATGGTTCTTCCCCTTCTGAGCCAGCCCGGCTGTGCAGGCTGTCCCAGCCTTATGTAAGGGCTGCTGCATGGCATCGAGGATCGGGGAAAGAGAGGAATTAATGAATATTACAAAAAAATTCTTCAGCAAAAAATAAAGAATAAAAAGGAAAAGCAGATGAAGAGACTGTTGCAAATGCTGCGCTTCCTACGCGAGAGCGGATTAAAGTTTATTCCACCTTTTTTTTCTGTCAAGGTGGTGACGGCCTTTTAAGAGACATGGCACCACAACTGAAAGTTGTTGGGAAAAGCTTCAGTATACATAATAATCACATCAGCCCTCCGATACGAGGGCTTTAATCTTTTTTCGCCTCTTTGGAACACAAAGCAAAATGATGTGCTGCTCCAGAATCTGCCTTCTCCATCCCTTCCAAGTGGCTGAGAACAACACCTGGATGAACTCTGGCTTGCAGACTGCCCATGGCTGCTGGCAGCCCTCTCTATGGGATACAACAGCTCTGCTCTGTGCACAGCCCCAGCCAAGTCCATGAGCTGCCCCAGCTATGGGCAATGGGCACAGCATGGGCACAGAGCTGAGGGAAGCAGAAGGGAGGAGCTGGATCTGGGTGCCTGGTTAAAACACACTGCTGCACAGCAAAGCTGCCAGGGCACTGATCTGCAAACAGGCAACTACAGAGAATCACAGAATGGCCCAGGGTTAGAAGGGACCTCAAGGATCATCAGTCTCCAATCCTCTTACCACAGGCAGGGCTAGCAACCTCCGCAAGGAGGTTGGGGAGAGGAATTCAGGGAGAGGAAAAGATGGATAAATGCATGCTGGATCTTTCATTTATCTGTTAGGAGGCAGTCAAGTGGTTTTTTGCTAACGACTTCAATATATATATATATATATATATATATCTTACAGATAGCAATTAACCTTCTGGTACAGATTAATCTTTTAAAAAATCAAAGACGAATTAATCTTTGAAATTCGAGTATTCAGTAGTTTCATTAATAATCTGAAATTGTCCTTTAGATTTTCCGTAATTAGAGCATTCTCTAATTTATTAATCCCACAGACTGCAGAGCATGTTTCAAATCCTCATCCCCTGCCACAATGACATATTCAAACTCGCTTGAAGCTCTCATAATAAAAGTCACTTTGTGAAGAATTATTAACTCAAAGGATCAAGCAAAGTCGTTATATACCAGAGCACATTTAAACACTGAGCATGGATAATGCTTTCTACTCATCCTTGCCATTCCTAAGATCTTGGCTGAATCTGAAACCAGTCTGGACGGAAAGCTGAATTTAGGATAATTAGCTTGCTCTGGATTCCAAAGACAGGAAGCGTGCTGGTACCTATGGACTAAACCCTTCTGTGCCAAACCATGCTGATTATGAGATACGAGGCAGCTGGCTGCAGGTGACAACAGCCCGCACATCTCAGGCTTTGGCACGAGCTGCACAGCCCCTGGGCATTGCCCACAGACACCAGCAGCAGAGCTCAATGGCAGCAGGGGGGCAGCATGGGGGGGCTTTATGGTCCTTTCCAACCAACCACGCCGTGGTTCTGTGATTCCACATTCCACGGAGGCAGGACCTCCTGGTACTTTTCTGGGCATTAGAAGAGCAGGAGCGTGCTGACAGGGACTCTCAGAACCTCACCCAATCTTTATCTGCACGACACAGAGCTGTGGCAGGCACAGCCTACATCACCCTGCACACAAAGCTGCTTTATGCAGGGTGTTCTTGTGGGTTTATGCTTTATTCTTTAAGAATGTTGACTTACAAGTTGACTGCATTAGCAGCTCCAGTCATTAAGTTAATTCTGCCGAAGTCTATGAAGTGATAGAGTATTATTCAGCTAGAGTTTGTCCTTGACGTGGAGAACGCATTTCTTGTAAGATTTTGCAACAGTGGATATTTGCAAATAAAGTAAATCTTAAATTATAATGAACGCTGGTATTTATCACTTCCTATGGTATCAAATCCCAAACCGTTTTCTTTAATACTGCATAAATACGCATTCAAATGAACAGACAAATCCATGCAAATACAGCCTCACTACATGATACCAACAGAACACAACAGCTCTGACACCCCTCCAAAGCTCCTTCCCCCACCCCCTGCAGCCCTGGCACTGGCTGCAGAACCCAGCACATGCAGTGGGTGCTGCAGAGCATCACTGTCCTGTCCAGGCCCCCTTGCCCCATACCAACAGCCCCTTCCCCACCTGCCCAGTGAATCCTGTCATTCAAGACTGAATTCTGGCTCAGTATTACCAGCTTTTTTGCAATGGGACGGCAGGGCAGCTACAGGATGGGACACCTGCCACTTCCTGCAGGCAGTGCAACAGGGCTTGCTCTTATACAGTGAGGACACATTTCTGATCCTCCCTGTCACACCAGGATACATCAGTGCCCATTCCTGGAGCCGGCTCTTATACAGCTCACCGCTGATGACATCTTCTGCCTATTTCTCCTTCCTAGCACGGAGATCTGCTTCAAATGTTTCAGTTTACAAACGTTAATGATCCAGCATTGCATATCAGCTTGCTGAGGATGTACAGTTTGATCCCCAGCGATACCATCCAAAGCCCTCCTATGTTTTGTCATCTCTGGGGAAATTCAAAGCTATTTCACCTGAAGAGTAAGTTACCAAGACAAGGGTGTGAGCACACAGACACAGCAGCCACCCCTCCAGGGCAGGTCTGCCCTGCATTCTGAACCACAACCAGAAAGCCAACTGCAAAATTAGGTTTCCTGTCAACAAAATTGTGATGGCTCAAGCCTATACCACAAGCCTGAGCAGGCATAGCATAAGGCACAGCATCTCCTTGTCCTCTTGGAATATCTCCCACTCACAAGAGATGTTCTCCAGCACACTGAAAAAAGCTTTATCCTTTAAGACAGAAAAAAAAAGAGAAAAGAAGCACTCAGGCAACCAGAAAAGCATTTTGCATCCCACTAGAGGCATGGTGTGCCTCACACCATGCTGCAGGGCTTTATGCCTCCTTACCCCAGGACAGCAATCCTGAGCCTTTCAGGTAAGATGTATGAGTTTTCTCAAAAGAATTGGTCAAGAGGAATGCTACAGAAAAGCAATACACTGGCAGCAATCTGAGACGTGCACAGCAGCAGCATGACACGAGTCAATGTGTAGCAACAAGCAGCCTTCAAACAATTTCTAGCTGTGGAGAGATAAAAGCTCAGCATTTTCAAATCTGTCTTCTACCCATGTCAACATAATATAATGCTGTCCAGCAGAATACCAGAAGCTTGATAAGACTCAGGGCTTTCTATTTTCTCCAGAAACGATTGAAAAACACTAACATTTCAAATTCTCTGAAACTCTATAAGCAATTTAGGAAAGAGAGCACCCAGGAGCCATTACAGAGGCACTGCAAAGAACTGGAGCAACTTTAGAATCAAATATACGTTCCAGAAAAACATAACATTTGGTACAAAATAACATCCATCACTTCTACAGCATTTTCGGGAGGGAGGACGGGTGTTGCCTACCTGCCTCTCTGGAAATTTGCATGAAGGACTCGACTCCTTTTTCTCCATAATTCCCTTCAGATGCCAAAGTGGATACATAATTCCATCCCAAAGCTTTCACAATGTCCACCATTGCTTGCGCTTGGAAGGAATCTGGAGGAACCACACGTGAGAAGAAATCATAGCGCCTGTCATCACTCAACTCTGGTGCAGTTGAGGCATAACTGATTTGTGGGATCTGTAGAGAAAAATAATTTCTGATAAATATACACGTTCACATATGCATTGCACTTGTCACAGCAGTTAGCTAAAGCATCTAGCTTCTGCTGAGCCTAAGTTCATCTTCCTTGCACCCATCTACTTTTCTCTGCCACATTCCATTGCAATGCACAAATCGAAACACCAATCTTTCCATTGAAATCGAGCAGAAAGTTGTAAAACTAGACAAAATTAGTCAAATTAGAACAAAGGCATACATGTTCACAATTGCATTTCCTCCTTTCACACAACTCACTGCAACGCACACCAACCACTCCTCACTGTTGCCTTTCCATTGGCGTTCTGCTGAGCACCACTGGGTCACTTTGGATGCTGAATTCAGCAGAACTGAAATCCAGACCTGTTGTGGCTGGAAACCAGAAGGAGCCTTCCTCTGTTTGTGGGAAGACGGTGGGTTACTTTGTGTAACAGACTGGGATATTGTCTAGGGTTATTTTCTCCCTGATAACAAAGGCTGTGGAGCAGTTACCAAGCTGACAGTACGTTAATCCCCAAACACATTATGCAACTGTTTGAGTAACAGTCTGGGACTTCTCCTTAATTTAAGGAGCCTTCCATAATTCTCACTCGAGATGCCAAAGAAGGGGGAAAAAAGACTTGAGATATAAACAAACGTGATCATATATAATGATTTTAGATCGTTAGGCTGTGGCAAGGTCAGTATTTCATGCCTCAGCCCAAGTATCTCCTGCATACTCCCTCCACTCAGCATTTCTGTGGGTATTCATTAGTCCTGCTGCCCTCTCAGCAGAGGCAGTGTTACAGCGTGGGCTCAGTGCCTTCCCTGCCCACAGAGGTCAGGGCAGGCAGCGCCAGCACAGCAGTCCGAAGGGACGTGGGCTGCGTGCCGCAGCCAGAGCAGGGCTACAAAGCAGAGCTGCTGCTGCAGACGTAGCAGGCAAAGAGAAGTCATGCAAACAACCCGCAATTATGAACGACGCAGGCACTTGTTGACACACGTTCCAGACACAGAACGTTAAAGAAGTTAAAATTGAGGCTGGCAGCAAAGAAACGTGATTTCTTTGCTCACTGCTTTGCCTATGGGCCAGCAAAGCTTGGGGACCACTCTCAACACATGAATAAATCAATGGTGTTTGATTTACTGTGGTTCTTGATTTCTCATCTAGCTCAGGGTTGCACAGAGAACACTGAGCACCTCCGCAATAATTCACGTTCCTAATTTGCTGGTGTCTGCGTTCACCACAATAGCCATATTTTGGGATTGCTCTCTTCTTTATACAATGCAGCCCATGGAGCCTGCTCAGCTGCTGATCAGCTTAATTCACCACCCCATTGGATGGCGTTATATTAAGTGCAACAGTTACCATGCTGACTTCACGGGTGCTGCTAATTGCATGAGCACCCAGAGCTGTGCTGCGATAGCCCAGTGCAGCGCCATTAATTATAAATAAAAGGACAGAAGAAATATGATCTTTTAATCTGTGGCAAGTGTTTGTATTCCAACTTGTAAACAGCTACTTTTTCAACTTGAAATCAACAGGATCACATTCTGCACTACTGCAGAAAGAGAAACTCCGACAGAATTTGCTCCAGCGCTTATATTACTTAGGAGACCTTTTGGGTTTGTTTTTTCTTAAAGCCTTTTTCCTCTGCCCATAAAATATTAAGCACTTTTGGCTGTTTAAATCACTTCAGTATTCAGAGCATATACTGGTTTCTCTACCAGCACCTCTTACAGGACATCTGAAAGCAACATGAAGTCATACAGTCAGAGCAGAATTTTGGTAATGTTTTGTGTGGGTTCAACAAGAAATCATTAAATAGAGCATTTCTACACACTTATTTTAATTAACCAGACATATATTTGGTCACATCTAAAGGATTTAATTTTCCCTTCCTCCACTGCAGCAGCTGGGACCAGCAGGGCAGGAACATGCCCAGAGCTCCACGATGGATGCAGAGGTGCCAGCAGAGGGGAGCAGGTCCTGGGCAGACAGGATTGTAAGAAGGCAACCTTCATGTTTTCAGCAGGACTGTGACAAACATCACAGCCCAGAGCTTCTCATATGGCTTCCCTGGCCGATGTTCTGATTACAGTAATACTGAATGATTAATGCTGGGACCATTGCATTAGTCAGTGATTAATTAATTTTAATTTATTTTTAACATTGAGCATTATTCTTCATTTATCTCATTTTCTTCTGCTAATGAAGTTGTTCTCCCGGAATCCCTGCACCACTCTTGATTGGGCTGCTGGAAAAGCAGGGTCCGCATGAAACATTTTCATTAGGCCTAGAACTGTGTGTTTCTGAGTAAAACATGACTGAGAAAATATAAACTTGTAGAATTTTGAAGGGTTTGCACTGTGGTAAAACCTGAGTTATCCACCTTCTTCCCCATATACTCCCACTCTGGACACATCAGAACAGATCTGCCCATGCAGTAGCTCCCTTCTCCTCAGTATCTCACTGAAGGATGAATGAAATGGCCCACCTGAGCCTCCTCAGCAAAGGACAGCCACTAGAAAACTTTAGAAAGGCAATTTTCCTAAGGATCATGTGCAAATTAAGATAATGCATGAGTATACCTGTTGAGATATTAATGAGCTCCCACCAGGGTAACATCAAGTTCACAGTTGGCTGCAACCTTACTTTCAACTTCCCATCAGGTTCCACTGATACGAGCTCCTGACCATGGAAATAATACATACATACATACATACATACATACATATCCCACTTTGATATATATATATAGTATATATATATAATATATACTATATATATATATATAGTATATATATATAATATATACTATATATATATATATATATACACACACTATATATATATATGTATGTATCCCACTTTGATAAAGCCTCTTGACTGTCTCTTATTTGGCAGAGCAGCATCAGTCTGCACAAAGTGCAAAATCCTGCCAGCAACTTCACTTTGCACAAGTAAGATGCCTGAAGACTTTGCCCTCCTCTGCTGAGCACTCTGGTGTGAGCTGATGGATGACTAACAGTCTTGAATCTGTTTAGGTCTTGGATTTTATTCACGTAGAAATCTCTCATGTCAGGATTTAATCATCAGTACTTCTCTTTGTTCACCATTTACACTGCACAACAAACAGCTTCAGCATCCTGTGAACTGCACATAATTGTTTTTATTGCCTTGAAATAAAACTACTTTAAGTTTCTGACTGGCCATTTTCTCTGGGCAAAACTCATCTACAATTTTCACATTTCACTTTGTTCCCAACAGGAAGAACATTTTACTAGAGGTATAAAATGAGACTCAGTGACATCCCAGTGCTTGCATGGACAGCTGGAGGGAGATTTCCCATTGAACGCCTCCAGGATGGGGTGGGACCTGAAGCCTGTTTGCCCACAGCCAACACCAGCAGGGCATCCCCAGCCCTGCAGCATGGCTGGACAGTAACACACGTACAACAAAAACCATTCCATAATCCAAGCTCAGCACAGGTTGTCCTGAGCTGCCAATCTAGCATCACATGTCCTGTTCTGGGGTGTCTTCCTGAAACATGTGTAAGTGAAATAATATCCTGCAATTCTTCCTGTAGGGCTGGTAAAAGACTGGGTAGTAATATTCCCAACAGCCTTAGATAATGATGAGAGCAAATCCTACTAAAGCCCTTTGATAATCCCTCTCTATTATGTTTTATTATGAAATTTCACAAGTAGTGCATATCAAGCTGATTTTTACATTCAAGAATCAAATGTTGACAATTAGACAACGAGGCAAAACAATTTGCAAAAAAGCTTTCATGTAAATCAGTTGTCAGAACAATAAGGAACATTTCTTGGCAGCTCTGCCATGGTGTAAATGGTGCAAACAATTGGCAAACCTGCTGCTGCGTGCAGAAGTTACACCAAGGAGCAAAGTCCTTTGTGCCATAACAGAAGCAGCACATCTAAAGCAGGGCATTTGTATATCAGAAAACGTTCAGAAACATGAACCTGTTCACAGCTCACCTCAGTTTCTCTCATTCTGCTCACCAATTACTAAAGCCATTGGAGTTCAAACAGGGTCCTGTTTGCTCACATCCCACCTCCCTTACTTTATCCACAGTGAATTCCCAATGATGCATTAGAGATCAACACAATCAGCTACACGGGAATTGGACGGATGTTTCATAAGGTACAGAAATACAAACATAAACAACATCAGATACAAATGAGAAGCTGAGCCTGGAGGAGAAGTGCATCGAATAAAACAGAAATATCTTTAAGAGCACAAAAAGAAACACCAAGAAAAGCAACACAATAAATGATTCATGCACACGAATTCAGCCTGTATCCAAGTTGGCCCCTTCTGCCAAAGCCCAGCACTCAGTGTGAGCTCCACCTCCCCCACAGCGAGTGGGTCTTCTCTGAACCTATTTCACAGACTAATAGGACAATTAACACAGCAATCTAATTGCATTTTTCAAAGTGTTTTAAAGAGAGATTTTCAAAAGTGCTCAGCTCCTGCAATAGAGGAGCTCTGTCAGACCTTCCAACCCTCGCTCAAGCTCTTTTTCCTTTGGGGAGTTTCCAAAATTCCTTATTTATAGAGAACTATTGGTGTTCTTGACACATCATCAGTGAAAAACCAGACAAGGTCACTGTGGTGTGGACCTCTCAGCATCAGATAATTCATGAGTGACACAGCAGCAGGAGAATGAAGCAGTGCCAGGAAGGGTAATGGACCAACAGGACGCAGGGAACGACCGGGAGGAGATATCCATAATTTCATTCCAAGGAACTGACTCACTGTACAGCACATATTTCAGTCTCACTACGCAGCGAATAAACTTCAGAAGCGTGGTGCAGATTGTGGGGTGGAAGAGGGAAGAGCAGCCTTTGGGAAGGACTGATGCTGAGCAGGGCAGTGCCAGAGCTCAGCAGGGCCGTAATGGGCAGTGAGGCACTTCCACCTGCAGCTCCTTCATTGCCAGCACTGCACTGGGGGAAACCCATTACCAAAGGAAGCA